AAGAGTTCCAAATCTCTTCAAAATCACATCATATATGGAAGCCATGGTACTAGGCAATGTTAGTGCAGTAGATGGTACAGTGGTTGGCCCACTTGTATAGGGCCTTGCAAGATTGAGACATTGACATGGTGGAAACATCGCCATGCTTTATCCCACTCTTGTAGATACCAAAGGGGTAGAAGGCTTCCTTTGTGGTAGGAAGTCACAAAGCGTAAAAATTTTAAGGTTAGATTCTATTCTAGTAACTATATTCCTAGCCAATAATTGACCAAGGCCTTCCTAAAGTGTCCCTTCTCTTTTTCCCTTGATAGATATCAACATTGGGAAGAATTATGATCTTGATAATTTGGTAAAATGGAAAAGTGTTCAAAGGAAATCCAAAAAAAGTTAATAACCTATTGGCTAAAGCCTAAACGCTTCTTTTGTTTTCATTATTTAGGATATACCTTACTAGAGCTAACAACTCAGAGTGGTCGTCAAGTGAGGATAAGAGTTAAACATTGATGGATGGTGGGCTCCTATTAGTGGTATGCCCTAAAAGCGCCTTGTCATTTTATTAATAAAGGGAAAAGTTTTATTTTTATCATACTATCTTTTTTGTGCTATTGTTTACATTGTAAGTCCATACAATTAAAGTTCAGAATTTATGTCTTAAGAGTTAAAATTGAGAGACATGTACTTCTCAGTATTTTATTCTTAAAAGTTCCTAGTTATACGATTACTATTTGGATGTTAGTAATCCAAACCAAATGGACTAGCACTGTGTTATGCTTGTTCACTCGAAAGAGGGCGTAGTCTCAAGTCACTTGTGTGGAACAATCAAACAACCATGTGTGTGTTTGTTAGAGAACAAGTGACCACCCAGGAACATATCTAGTTCGCTTATATGTTATAGTTGTGTGTGCAATCCTTAGACTAAGAACATCATGATTATCATGTGTGTGCATTGCTAAGCTTTGACAATACAATATGTTTATATTCTAACAACGAAAATATGAGCCTGTATAGATACGACTTCGTGAGACACCCACGGAGGCACGTGAAAGTTTAAGAATTGATCCATCACTCTCAAGTAAAGAGATAGAATATATGTGATCTTTCAGGATATAACTTGAGAAATACCTTGATCAAGGCAAAGTAATAATTAGAAAGGAGTTTCTAATTTCACCAATACAAGTTGATATGCATTAGATTAGACACATGATTGAGTTAGGTAGTGGCGGAGCCAGAAAATCAAATTAGAGGGGGCACTTATTAATTATAATATCAAAAAAATTTACAAAAATATTTCACGCAAGTTTTTACGATTGATTTTGAGAAACATAAAAAAAAATAATGTTATTTATAACTAGTGTATCATGGACAATATAAAAAAATATAGATATCAGTCTTAAAATAAATTATATAATGATAATTTTTTTTTAATACAAAATTTGATTAAAAATTCAATATAATGGGAATAACATGTTATCATTAGTATGTGATATCACCAACTAATAATAAATTAAAACATAGAGAGTGAACCTCACATGTCAAATGTAACTAACAATCTAATAAATTTCATATCTTTATTGTAGGATTACTTATACTTGCATGTCAATAATAATGACATCACCGTTACATTCAAAAATTTTCATAAAATTTTCATAGATAATATGATTTATAATAGTCTCTTCATTTTCAATCAAAAAACCATTATTATTCTCATAATTTTTAAAATGTTATTGACATTTCACTCTAATAATATTTTTGTAAATTTTTTTTATTTAAAATATTTTTCTTTATATTTGCAAAAAAAAAAAAAAAAAAACCCAAAATCCAGGGGCGCACGTGACCCCCCTGGTCCTCACTTCCCTCCGCCACTGGAGTTAGGGGTTTGACAAACCTCAATGTCCTAATGACCTTTTGAGACATTATACAATGAAAGGATTGAATGTATGGTAACTGTTAGAAGGGCTTATTTTGTATATTCATAATATCTGGTATGCTCATAATATGTTGCTTGGTGTCACTCAAGATTTGTGGAAGCCCAAGGAAATGTTCCATGGGACATTTAAAATTCATAATAAATATCAAGAATTTATATTATTTCCACCACATAGAAAAGTTTGAACCTAAAATTTCACACACAATAAGGACAACATGTAATATAATGGAATGAAAAGAGTTAATCCAAATTACGTGTTAATCAAGGATTTAAAATAATTAAGAGTTTCAAAAAGCGGTTGCAGTCGCCGTTAAAGTTGTAATTGTGAAGTGTAAAGGCCGTAGAGTAGCGGTTGAGGTAACCGGAATCGTGAAGTTTTTAATTTTTCGCACAATTTGAAAAAAACTTACCAATACTCATTTTTTTTTTCAAAATAAAATTATTAGGGTTTAAAATAGATTTTGATCAATTTTTGTTAGTTTTTAAGTATAATCCAATATATTTCATATTTTTAAATCACTATAAAAAGAGCTTTTTACATTTTATTTCAATAGTTAATGACTTTAAGAATAATTGATTTTAAATGTCTATAAAATTATTTTTGATGAATACCTGAACTAAATAAATAAAAAATTTACAATTATTAAATGAAATGATTATAATAAAAAAAATAAAAAAAATTGTGCTATAAATAAAAATTATTTTTGAGCTAATGATTTTTTTTTAAAAGATATATTTTTAGACAACACTTTACAGTTAACTAAATAAAATTATTTACAATTAATAATTAAATGAAATGATTATAAAAATAAAAATTGTGCCATAAGCAAAAATTATTTTTGAGATTTTTTTTAAAAACATTTTTTAGACAACACATTATAGTAACAAAATAAAAAATATTTACAATTAAATATTAAATGAAATGATTATAAAAATAAATAAAACCACAGTCTATATATTTTTATTTTACATGCTAATATAATGAAATAAAAATGAAAAAATAAATTATAAAGAAAAAAAATTCATACAAGATTTTTTCTTTAGACTTGAATCACTTGAGTATTCATTATTTTTTTGTAAGATTTTTTTTTTTTTTTGGGAAAGTAAACTATTTAAAATATTGTAACGGTGTGCAACAAGCCATTACAGTACCACTACGACTGTTACGTAACACCGAAACAACAGTTACACACAAGGTTTTAAAAAGCGGCCGCAACCGTTACGTAACATCGTTACGTAACGCTGTTACATAACGGTTGTGGTGGTTACCGCCACCCATTACGGCCGCTTTTGTAGTGTGATTGAGATTCACAAGTGTGTTGGCCGTAACGGCTGCCGTAGCAGTCGTAACGGTACCGTAACGGCCTGTTACGCACCATTACGTAACGGTTCCGAACTGTTTCTTTCGAAAAAAACACAAAAAAAAAGAGCTAAAAATGGGGGAAGAGGGATAGAAAGAAGAGAGAAGATAAAAAGAGAAGATGGAGGAGCTAGAGATAGAGAGAGAGAAGAGGAAAGATGAAGAACATTTTATTGATTTGTTGAAACTGTAAGACCTATGCTATTCTATTCAGCTGCTATCACTCAACCATTTTGTTTGTGTGTATCTATCTATATATTGTTTAATAATAATAATAATAATAATAATAATAATAATAATAATAAGTGTGGTCATTATTTATTTGGCTTGGTTAAAATATGTATATATATATATATTTAGACTCTTATTTATTTTCTTACTTTTGTCATTGTTTATCTTATATATAATAGTTAGTGATTGATTTTTTGTATAATATAAAGTCATGAATTATTAAAATAAAATATAAAAAACTCAGTTTATAGCAATTTAAAAATATGAAATATATTGGATCATACTTAAAAATTGATCAATATTTATTTTAAACCAAATAAATATGATCATGGAAAAAAATATGCGTATCGGTAAGTTTTTTTCAAATTTTGTAAAACATAAAAAAATTCACGGTTTCGGATACTGCAACCGTTACGCTACAGCCTTTACACACCACAACCGCAATCGCGCCACCGCCACCGTTACGGCGACCGCAACCGCCTTTCAAAACCTTGGTTACACATGTGAATTTCCCTCACACCGCAAAAGCAAGTGTAACAGGTAGCGCTTACCACCGCAACCATTACGTAATGGCCGCAACCGTTATGTAACACCGCTTTTTGAAACCATGAGCTAATTAATGAGATTATTGCAATTAATAGTTAATTGTGATAAAACTTGTTCATTGTAACGTACTTATCAAAAAAAAAAAAAACATCTTTGTTATAAGATTAGGAAGATCATCAATCCTTGTGGGACAAGATAAACTTGGTCCTCAAATATGAGAGCTATTATAAGAGCTAGCACTCAAGAGATTGACATCTGCCTCTCATTGTCTCTCTAGAATACTTGTGAGCTTGACAATGCCTTTGTTATAAGACTTTTAGAGGTCGGATGCTTGAACTACTTTTGAATTGGAGTGAACTCAAAAATCAAGCAAGGAATTGAATTTTGTGTTCGAGGTATTGTTCAAACTATTTCTGTGGATGTTTGTATCTACGTTTCATATATATCACAAATATAATCATAGGAGTTTGAGAATCAAAATAAATTTTAAATTCCTTTATGCCTAGCCTAGGTATGCAATTTCCAACAGCTCCTCCATGCTTGTATTTGGATGGAGTAACATAGGCAATCTTTTGAAGGACTGGAATTGCCTGATCTGGCATTAAAATATGCTGATGTGAGATCCCCATATTTGGTTAGCAGGGATTAGGGAAAATCCTCCTTCCATATTGATTTTTCTGTTTAGAATTTGGGTGGAATGAGTCTACAGCCTACAGGCTTGTTTTGTTTGCTAATATACATCTACATCCTATCCTATGTACATGGTTGCACCCATTTGATGCCTTTTCCTGACAGAACATTACTTATTAAAGAAGTCAAGAAAAAGAAAAAGTAGCTACCTTGAGTGAGAACAGCCACTCTAACTGTCAGTCCAGTTCCGTTGGGTAAATTCACCTATCATGAAAGAATTAGAACAATAGCAGAAACTAATTGTAGTCCATGAGATTGCTACCATATTTCTCATTACAATTAATCAAATGCAGGGAAAACTCACTGTTGCCCTCAGCTGTTGATCATTGTATTTTGGGTCAATGTTGAGACGGAAATGAGCTTCAGCTGTTTCGACAAACTTTGTGCTTGCCATTTGCTTGAGCAATGATATTGCTGTTTTTAAGTCATACTCTTTCTTGTTTTCCCTCAATTTTTGAATTTCCAAGAATCTCTTAGACCTTCTCTAATAATCCCAACAAAAGGAGGATAAGGAGTAAGTTAAAAATGCAGTAACAACATGAATGTGAAACTAGGAGACAGGAATGTGAAAGTATGGGGGTAGACAACTTAAACAAACCAAAAAGGAGACAAGAACAGTAACAACAGTGATAAATATCACGTTTGGGATTCATGCAAAGCAAATTTCTGATTTAAAAAGGCAACATATGTCAAGAATTTTTTAAACGTGAGGTCTTCTAACTCTTGTTCTCTAACAATTACAATTTCTAATAATTTAAAACACAAGGGCTTTTAATCATTTTGAATAATTTGAGAATTCAGATAAAATTGCAGAATTATTGTTAATATTCAAGACCCGATTATATAAAAGGCATTCTTCTCAAATGATCATGAACTATGACAAAAAAAGGTGTTCTCAAAACTTGAGAATGAACTAAGTCCTCGTTTGTTTGGGGTTATAGGAGGGGGAGGGGGAAGGGTGATTGGGACTACTAATACCTTGTTTGTTTTGAGAGATGACCTTGGGACTACTAATACCTTAGTATTACTAATACCCTTGGAAGGGGGATTCATAGTGAGGAGGTAGAGATGGTATTAGAAAAATAGTAAGGGGATTAGAATTTTTTTTTATTTTATTTTTTATATGTTGGGATTTTTTTAAAAAATATTAATGTTTAATTTTTATATATTTTTATTTGTTTTATTATTTTATATAAAAATAATTTAACAATTTCTCACTATTAATCCCCTCACTGTCACGCCCCAATTTTTATTACTCGAAGTATTACCAATTTCATTTACTTAATTCCATTTCAGAGATAACAAGCGGAAATAAACTCGTGTTTGTAACCACTAATAAGGATATTAAATGAACCATTATGAAAATTTAATGGACACTAACCCTTGGTTTCCAAACACAACCAACGTGTTTTAAATCTACCCAACAAGACCCAAGACTCATATACAAAGAATAAAGGATTGAAACTAGAAAAAGACAACAACACATCCACGGAACCGAGTCTAAAATACCATTAAACAATGAAGGGAAAACTGGGATCGCTATACTCACTATCAATCCCCTCCATTCTATCTCTGAAAACAAACGGGGCCAATACTCTACTGCAACCACAACCTGTATAGCCAAACTTAAATAAATAAATAAAGGGCAAAACCACTAGATATAGCCAAAATTTGTAGATAATCAAAAGATGAAGAAACGAAGAAACAAAAATATGACATACATTCTTTTTCAGACGCTACAATGGAGGATTCTAAGGGAATGAAGTGCTTAAGTCATCATTAAGATAAAACTCAAGCAAAAACAAGTAAATAAATTACTATAATACACCCACAATACATGGTTTCAATCTCTCATATTGGTTTCCTATAACTAAAACTACAAAATGAACAGAAATCAAACAAAATTATATATGTAATTCACTACACACATCCACAATCCAAGAAAAACAAAATAAATACCAATTAAAGTAGATCTTAACTAGCACAATCTATTCCCAACTCAAGTATAAGATTCTTGAAACTAAAAATTTTACAATCACAGTTAAATTAAATGTGAAAATCAAAGAAACTCAAAAAATTAAACCACTAATGTGTCCACAATTCAAGAGAAAGGGAAATAAGGAATGAGATTACATATACTCTGTCACTCTTGAGAGGCAATGCAGCTTTGCCTTTCTTGGACTTAGTTGGGGCAACAACAACACCACTTTCCATAACACCCTCTTGGAGTTGTTCTGTTTCTTCTGCTACCTCTGCTTCAGCAGCCAAAGTGGCCACAACAACTGGGGAATTGGGTGAATAAAATGAATTTTACCCTTAGAATAATTGTGTAATGAAATAAAATTGTTGTGCAACTAGAATTACCCTTCTAATAACTTGCTAAATGATTTTTCTCATCTATCAAACTCTCACTAAACAGTGTTCTCATTTATCAAACCACTCATTTATCATCAAATCATCCACAAATTTAAATATAAAATTACAAATGCATCACATTTGTACCTCACTACATGTAAACACACATGTAAAATTTAAAATAACTATGACAATTATCTAAAGCAATTTACATCTGAGAGAATTGAAGCAGTCTAGATCTCATGGAAGTCATCATGTTGTGGGATATTTTGAAAAACATCATAAAACGTGACAAAACTACACTAACTCAAGTGTATGCATTATACAATACTATAGATAATATAGCTACATAGTTTTAAAACATGTTTTCCTATTTGTAATTTTTAAAGGCAGCTTAAACTTGAAGTGAAAATTTCAATGATTGGGTTGCCAAAATCTACTAAAATTGATCATGATACCAACATGAATAAGACAGTTGGCCCAGTAGTCCATGTAACTGTCCATTGGGATAGTGAGAAGGTTAGAGTTTGAAGGTCCGAGTTTGAAGGTCCGAGTTGATAGAGCAACCATAGCTCTTTTGTTGCAATCTAACTTACTACTAACCTACTAACATCCTATTGTGTGCACACAAAAAAAAAAAAAAATCATGATACCAATACAAGATTTTGATACAACTGGCATAAAGAAGAAAATGCAATGCTCTTTGTAAATGCAATCATAAATCTGAATACCTCCCTATCATATTCAACTCAGCTTGTGTCCTACCCTTTTCAAACATTCGCAAGTGTCTGTGGAGGAAACCAAGAAGCTACCTGAATAGTTTAGAAGATATAATTTACATGTGTATTTAGATTTCCTTTAACATTCGAAGTCGCAGGCTTGAAATCAAGCATTTCCCTTATATTTAACCGAATGGAAGGCCCCATTGATGAGCATATATGTGCACTTTTCCAGTATACTCCTTTTGCACCAGATGGCTTGTTTGTTTCTACTGATTTCTGTCATATTAATTAAAGAAATAAAAAGGAAATACAGTTCAGAAATTGAGTACAAAAAATTCAGACAGCGCAAAACATGAGAGAGAGAGAGAGAGAGAGAGAGAGAGAGAGAGCATACTGCTATAGCAAGCAAGTTCACAAGAAGATCTTCCTCAGAAAAATCTGACTTTCCAAAGGGTAAGTGAACGATCCCAGTTTTATCTGCTCTGTATTGAACTTTGCCCTTCTTGAATTCCTCTATGGCCTGAGACAAACACAACTTGAATTCATTTCATTTCAGCAAATTTTAAGGGTGTAGGCCATCCGAGAACTCATATATTGTTGATAGCGCAGCGTGATGATGACCTTTATTTATTTATTTTTCATAATGATAAGTAAATCGTATTAATTGGCCTCTAAGGGACACAAATCTTGCATTCACTGTGTAAAATATGTGTACAATCATTTACACAAAGGCAAAGTGTCTCCAGTATCAACAACAACAAGAAGAAAACAAACAGACCAGAACAAAAAATAAAACTGATAGTGTTAAACGGTTCTCCCTTTTACTCAGCCAACCAAACAAGACCTCCAAACAAGGTATAGCAAGAACTGAGAGTCTTCTTTTGCCTTCTAGAAGGAATACCTTTCCTTCGAATTACACACCTATGCCATGCCAAGTAATGCCAATAGCAAGAACTGAACTTCCACTGTAGCCCTAAAAAAGGGCAAGGTGGTCCACTGACAAGTCCAATTTGTAGTCATGTTTGCTCTCCTCCTAAGGCTGTCAACTACGAAAACTCTAATGGGTAACTAACCACTCACAAACAAGGTATAGCAAGAACTGAGAGTCTTCTTTTGCCTTCTAGAAGGAATACCTTTCCTTCGAATTACACACCTATGCCATGCCAAGTAATGCCAATAGCAAGAACTGAACTTCCACTGCAGCCCTAAAAAAGGGCAAGGTGGTCCACTGACAAGTCCAGTTTGTAGTCATGTTTGCCCTCCTCCTAAGGCTATCAACTACGAAAACTTCAATAGGTAACTAACCACTCACAAAAAATCCACCTTTGTATAGAAGCTTGGCAGTGGCTAAAATAATTTCAATGATACAAAGATCATAATAATTTTTAGTCATTTCTACATTTTTTTTTCCTTCTCTCACAAATCACTTTTCCTCAGCCTCATTTGTAATTGTAGGTGAAACACAACTTACAGAAGCTATACCATTAATGAATGAAAATTTAACACAAAATATCTCACCTCAGAAGTCTGGCATCAGGAAACATATCCACTAGAACGTAAATGTAGACATACATGCATACATACCAAATTTGTATATATGAAACAAAAAGATCGTACCTGAGATAATTAGTTGTAACAGTACCAGCTTTTGGATTTGGCATGAGTACACGAGGACCCAAAATCTTTCCTACTTGGGCAACCTGATGGGACAGGAAAATGTAAATAAAGTCAGGCATATGAAATATGATCTCCAGACAATACAAACACATTAACTTATGCATATGTATTTTTACCTAGAGGAAAGAACCAAATTAATTAAGAATAAATCCTATTATTCTAAGTTAAGCCAAATCCAATATTCCTCTTTTGATCCAACTGCTTTGCAATTCTTTCCTTCAGTAATTACAACTTTCTCTCTCGCTCTACCCTCAATTTCAATTTCCTTTAAGTTGGCACATGTTGACTGTGTAAGTCCTTTTCATTGAGGCATAAGAACCTTCAACACATCCATATAGTTTCTGTTTGAATTGAATTTTAATCTGAAAAGGTTTATGACACACCTCAATTACATTTTTGTCCTTTGAAACGAAAAATCAGCTAACAAATAGTGATTCTGCATAAGTTTTTAAGATGGAAATTGCTAGAGGCCTCAAAATTTCTACCAAACGTTTTACTCACATGCATGTGGACCACACACTCATGGGGGGAACCCATACCCATGTGAGACATTTGGTAAAAATTTTGGTATCCCTAGCATTACTATTTTAAGATTGCCTAAACCTTTTCATGACAATGATCTCAAATCATATCCTAAATTTGGTGTCTGAAAGCACAGCTGCAGAAAGAGAGGAAAAAAAGGTAGAAAATAGAATAAATACAAAACTTTGATCATAGGAAATGCACAGATCTCGCAATCTATATGAATACTTTCGCTGGACATGCTATAACCAAGTTGATGATGATTTTTCATCTAATGAGAAATCTCCAAACTTAAATTTGAATTTTCTGCTCAGAATTTATCGTAAACACTTTGTCTAAACAGGAGAACAGAGATTCTATTGGCATCCACATAAAAATAAATAAACCAGACGCAGTCTATATTGATCAAACAAAACAGACCTTGGGCATCATATCTGGAGTAGCAATTAATTTATCAAATTCCATGAATCCTCCTTTTATCTGGCCTATCAACTCCTCTCCACCAACCAGATCAGCTCCTGCATTTTTAGCTTCATCGAACTTCTCACCTGAAGATATTCAGCTATGGATATTGAGCCAAGTAATACAACAGACTTTAAGAAGGAATGAAAAATAAAAAATGAGTGTAACATTATCTCATTCTCAAATTCACGAGGCTATGATAATCTGCTTGTATGTAGCACCCTTAGAGAAGCTACAGGCTATGTGGCCGCATTTTGACACGTGTGGGAAACATGGCATAACACAATGGTAAACATTTAATCAATGTTGGAGCATAGCAAGGACACAAGTGCAAAATATTTGTAACATATAAAAGGGGCTCAATTACAAATAGAAAAGGAATATGATTACCACTTAAAAAGTAACAGAATGATCAGTTTAAAATCAAACTAGTTCATAATTTCTGTTTTATCAAGAGAAGCTACAGGCTATGTGGCTGCATTTTGACACGTGTGGGAAACATGGCATAACACAATGGTAAACATTTAATCAATGTTGGAGCATAGCAAGGACACAAGTGCAAAATATTTGTAACAGATAAAAGGGGCTCAATTACAAATAGAAAAGGAATATAATTACCACTTAAAAAGTAACAGAATGATCAGCTTAAAATCAAACTAGTTCATAATTTCTGTTTTATCAACACATAAAAAGAATAGTTAAGACTACTTTTTAAAAAAACAAAGATTAACAAAATAGAAACAAAAAAGTGGAGGCATCCCATGTGCAAATGAGGTATATAAAAGCACCAAAAAATAAATCTACAAGAATCCAAAAGATATAAAACCAGTATGATTTACAAATAGACACATTTGCCCAAAAATTCAAGACAAGAATCCAACAAAGGTGGAAAGAACTCTTTGGACCAAAAGATAATAAAACTGTCCAAATTACTCTCATGAATCAATGCCTCATCTCCCTCAAAATTCTATTGTCTCTCACTCCACAAGCACCCCATGAGACATGAAGGAGCTAACTACCACTATGATGACCGAGTGTGGCACTAGTTTCGTGTTCCTTAGTTTAACCTTGGGTTATGTTGTCGGGGTGTCGGGTTGGCTTGGAACCTTGTTAATTGTTGGGGCTTCTTGTGTTCGTGAGTTTTTCCAAAGCCCTGCTTTTGTTTGCTCCGGAAAGTGCAAGGTTGAATCCAGAGGGCTTGAATTTGGGGCTGGAAAATTTTCTGGGTTGGATGGCTGAGCCGCACGTGCAGGGGCCTTGGGCTGCACGTGTGGAATTCAGGAGATGTTTGGGCAGCACATTGCAATATATGCAGGTGCGGAGCAAGGTGCGTGAGAGGATGGCCGCACGTGCGGGGATGAAGGCCGCACATGCGGGAATGAGGCTCCGCACGTGTGGGGGCATGCGTCGCACGTGCGGGGCACTGGCAGTCCGAAAACTCTGCTTTTTTTTATCTTTTAGGGCTGAATGTATCTCATTGTTTCTACATCTCTCTCTGTCTCTAAAAAACACTTATGCTCCTCATTCTCTCTAAAAACCCTCATCAAGCACTCAAAACCTTTGATTTCTTGCAATCCTTTGGGCCTCGAGTCATCATCTCTCACAAATCTTGGAGATCAAAGCTAGGGCTTCATTTGGTGTAGTGGAAATCGAAAGATCTCCCATCTTGACTCTAGGGCTTCATCTCTTTCATCATCAAACTTTGAGGTAGGGACTTTTTGAGTTATATATACATGTTTTGCATTATTAATGTTGATTCAAAGGTTCTCTTGAAGCTATTATGTTGGTTTTGATTTTATGGCTCAAAATGTAGAGATTTTCAAAAGAGAGTTTCAAAAATCTTAAATCCTTTTAAAATAACATCTTGGGGGTTGAAATTGCTTTAGGTAAGAAAAGATTGTGTTCTTGAGAGTCCCTTTCAAGTGTTTGAGGTGTGTGTGAGTGTGTGTTGTTTGTAAAGAGGAAAAACCTAGAATTTTGTGGGGGATTTCTTGAATAAAAGATGATGGGAGCTTTATGGGTGATATTATATATATATATATATACAAACTCATGTTGGTGTGCCATGTTAAGTAAAGAAAGTGGAGGTTTTCATGTTTAATTACAAATGCATATATATATAGTGATGTGGGCTTCTCTACTCATGAAAATTACTGAGATTGGAGATGGTTGTTTAAATTTTGCAATCGTTTGAAATGATGAAAATGATGGAAGTGCACAGATAGTGGGCATGTTGTTGCATTAATGATAATTGGTAACAAACTTTGGGCTATTTGTGGAATAGCATAGCAAGGAGAAAAAGGAAATTTGATCATCATTGTATATTGTTGACATTATGTTGAAAGTGGACAATTATGGCATTGCATACTCATTCAATTGATTATCACAAGATTTTTATTTAACTTTGACATGTGGCATAGACATTTCTAGCATCTATTGTTACAAGTGTTGAGTTGAGATTTGAAGTCATTTACTTTGAGAAGGGAACAATGTGAAATGATAACTATTGAAATGTTTTGGGATAAATACGTTGGTAAGTCCGGATAGGAGGTGTAGATGAAACTGATTAAGTTGGCCTGAGTGTCCGGGGTGAAAGACTGAAAACACGCACGGAGGAGGTACCATTTCCCTTTCGGTTAGTAACCAGTAAAGTGGGGTTATTGGTAGTACTTATTGAGCCTACTTGCAGACACCAACCTAGGGATTACCTGAGTTGTATTTACCGCCCCTATTGATTTAAAATTGGAAGTTTCGGAAATGTTGAGATTTCAAACTGTTATTCAAACATAGTGATTTTCAAGAAAAGTATGTAATGAATTTCTCTTTAAAACAGCATTGCATGGCATTTGCATTTAAAATTGGAAGGTTGCATAACTATATATACTTTGTGAGAATTCTCTACTGGGCTTTTGCTCACCCCTATGGGATTTTGATGCAGGAAAAGATGTGGTGATCCCGCCAAGTTGAAGACTTGAATATATGTTTTGTGAAGAATCTTGTTGTGAATTTATTTGCCAGCCAAGGGCTTAAATGTAAGGATTCGTGAAACCATTTCTATGTAACCGAGCTTAAGCCCTGGAAATTGTAAGCCCATGAGGGCATATTATTATTTTTGGAATATGATGCTCTACATGCTATAGATTCATGTATTTCTATATCCTTGAATGTATAATTTGCATGTGGAACTTTTGTATAAATCTTGTTGATTGATGGTGAAATGATTGGGGTATTGTTATTTTGTTTAACGGACGTAGGTTGATGTATTAAATTTATGTTGGATTATTTCGGGCCGTTACAACCACAACCTCATATTCCGCCTTCGGCAACCCCTCTGCCAGCACCCAATCAACTCTATAGTAGATTCTTGGCATCATCACTGCCACCAACATGCCAACGTAAGATTAAATGATGAACATTTTTTCTGCATCCTTTTTACACCTACAACACTTTTTCAATGAACCCAGTGTAAATCTAACATAATCAAGATAATTACACCATTCACAGAAACCCTTCAGGAGCTTAATACCCATAGTATGTATATTTGTCATGGTCCTTTTGTCCTTGATAACTAGTTTTGTAATGCCATAACAAAACTATGACCTAGTAATTGAAGTACTGAGAAGAGAGTCTAGAGACACAACTCCCTTAAGGGTTAGTATCCAATGGAGGTTTGATAAATAATGTTTTTAAGTAGCATAGCTGCATAGGTACTGCAATAGATGAGCTCTATCCCTATCCAACATGTCAATATTGATACTTTCAAGAGAATAACCTTTCTCAAACTAGCGGGTTGGGTTGGGTAGGGGTGGGTTGGTGGATTGGCAGGTAAATTGCACATCCCAAATCGCAGGTTTATTCTTCTGTCCTTCTTCATTTTTCTTCTTCCTATATCACTACTCAATTTGTATTGAGAATGAATTCAAGTATTATTAACTTATTAAGATTTGGCATGTCTTCCTTTAAAGGATGAAGGATTGGGACTTAGGAAACTGAGGTTTTTGAACAAAGCTTTTTAGAAAAATGGCTAGGGAGATATGCTGAGGAAGATAAGGGTAGTGTAGAATAAGGATCATACTGTGAGGGCTAATAAAATTTGTACAAGTCTTTTGGGGTGAAATTATGGAAGAACTAAAGGAATGGCTGAGAAGAATTCTCCAAACATATTTACTTTTCGGCAAGAAATTTGCAAAGATGAGATTTCATGATGACTACTGTATGGTAGTAAGCTCCACAAACTAAGAGTTCCAAATCTCTTCAAAATCACATCATATATGGAAGCCATGATACTAGGCAATGTTAGTGCAGTAGATGGCACAGTGGTTTGGCCCACTTGTATAGGGCCTTGCAAGATTGAGACATTGACATGGTGGAAACATCGCCATGCTTTATCCCACTCTTGTAGATACCAAAGGGGTAGAAGGCTTCCTTTGTGGCAGAAGTCACAAAGCATAAAAATTTTAAGGTTAGATTCTATTCTAGTAACTATATTCCTAGCCAATAATTGACCAAGGCCTTCCTAAAGTGTCCTCTTTTCCCTTCTGTCCAAATTACTCTCATGAAACAATGCCTCATCTCCCTCAAAATTCTATTGTCTCTCACTCCACAAGCACCCCATGAGACATGAAGGAGCTAACTACCACAACCTCATATTCCGCCTTCGGCAACCCCTCTGCCAGCACCCAATCAACTCTATAGTAGATTCTTGGCATCATCACTGCCACCAACATGCCAATGTAAGATTAAATGATGAACATTTTTTCTGCATCCTTTTTACACCTACAACACTTTTTCAATGAACCCAGTGTAAATCTAACATAATCAAGATAATTACACCATTCACAGAAACCCTTCAGGAGCTTAATACCCATAGTATGTATATTTGTCATGGTCCTTTTGTCCTTGATAACTAGTTTTGTAATGCCATAACAAAACTATGACCTAGTAATTGAAGTACTGAGAAGAGAGTCTAGAGACACAACTCCCTTAAGGGTTAGTATCCAATGGAGGTTTGATAAATAATGTTTTTAAGTAGCATAGCTACATAGGTACTGCAATAGATGAGCTCTATCCCTATCCAACATGTCAA